AAAGACCACAAAATACCTCAGTTTCAACTTTCTTGATGCTAGTTCCAATGATGGCTTTACTACCTGAATTCGTTCACCTCACTCTAGAGACCTCACCATCACACAGAATTGCTGCATCTTGAAAATCGAAAATTCCGATTTTCCACATTCTGACTATAGTCTTCTATACCTATTCAGATACTGCTACTCTGCTAACACCAAACTCCCAGTCCCTCAATTCCTCCCTTTCTTCCCATCTGTCAAACTCATCATGGCTTTGTATACTCCCTATTCCACCTAAATTCCCAGCAACATGCTTCCACTGCTCCCTAACCCTTACTCTCAGCTATGCTGACCTTCTCTCCTGGTACTATTAGCTTATAAACCATCGATATTTTGAATATTTTGACAATGTTTCTATGACCAAGCTGGAAATAAATATAACACAGTGAGATACTCAGAGCTTAAAATTAGCACAATGGTGTGTTTTCCCCACTTTTCAGGAGGAGACCCACAAGGAAGTGGTCCCTAATCTCAAACAAACCCTTAATACCACTCAATAACTGTAGATATGTCTTATTGCTTTCATAGGAAATTCTAAACCCTCCTCACTTTCCAAAATGCTTCCTCTGTTTACTTTCAGCAGTTTACCTTAAGTCTGAATTTGCAGAGTAACAAGCCTAGCCAAGGCCTAATTCTCACTCCTGTAGAAGGCCTATCTCTCCATGTGCTCTAAACCCCAAACCTTTTTCTCCCAAAACTTATTGTGAGTCCAAATTCTTTCATAATCAAGATCTGAGCCACCTTCCCAGCCTCACCTTCTGCCTGTCCCCCAGAAACATTCTACCCGCAGTTCCGGGAACGCTATCCAGACATGGGGAGAAGCTGGAGCCTGACATAGTGGACCATATCCAACAGTGCTGGGGGCAGAAGCCAGGAGTGAAGCTGAATTCTTGTTTACAGGAATGCTATCTTAACAAGCATGCTGGCAAGGAGAAGAATGCAAGCCATGAACAGTGGAATGAGGTTGAACAGTCATTAGCCAAAATGTCAATAAATGGGGAAACCCAATGAAGAGAGCAAGAACAGATTGCAGGTAGAAAGGGATTAATATGGGAGAAATAGACATGGAGCATAATGTGAGTTTAGTCCAGGTTATGTAATGTTCTTCCTCTTAATTGCTGCATAGTTGGTTCCATTCTGTCTTTCCAACATTTAATATTAATTGCTATCTACTGAAAGGCTTTTCTATTCTCTATAGCAGCCTTTAAATTACTCATCACATTTCTATGTTTTAATCCTCTGCCTAGTACTGTAGTGCTAGCTATTTTTTTTTATTTAGCAGTTATCTATTTCTCTCCACTAGAATGTAAGCTCATGAAAACAAAGCTTTTCTCATCTATTCTATAGCCCCAGTGGCAAAAATAGTTCTTCAAATACAGTAACTTGGTAAATACTAGATGGATGAACTAAAGCTCAGGAATATGCTGCATTTTTAAAAAAAACCTCCAAGTGATTCTGACTTCACCCTTTTGGGCTACACCTGCATTGTTGTTCCCACTATGCTGAGATGTAGAGGTTGGTGAGAAGTGATCTTGAAAAGTGCAGAACCGGACCAGACAAATGAAGCCTTGCTCTCTTTTTCCAAGGCCTTGATTAAGCTTTCCTCACATTCAATTCAAGTATCTTCTTTAATAACTATAAATATTAAGACAATTAGTTCAAATACTGTCTGGCATGTGCTAGATACTCAATAACTGTTTCTTGAATTGCATTACTCAGAGAGTTGCTCTAACCCACTGGGCTTGTTGGTGTACTCTGCCTCAGCTTTCGTATATTAATGATAGAGGCCCAGTGCATGAATTCATGAACTGGTGGGATCTGGCCAGCCCAGCCCCAATAGGGGCAGATCAGAACTGGGCCTGTCGGGAAGAGGAGATGGTGGGAGGTTGGCTGGCCAGCTCACCCCAATCAGGGCCCAATCAGTGCCGGGTCAGCTGAGGGGTGGGGCCAAGGGCAATTGGCCAACAGGCATCACCCCTGATTGGGGTTGGGAGGCCAATTGGGGGCATGGCTGGCCATGGGGAGAGGCTGTGAGTAGTGGGCCTGCTGGCTCTGCCCCCAAATGAGGTAAGAAGTGCCAATCAGGGGGCCAGTAGTCTGGGGGATGGGCCATGGATAGTTGGCAAGCTGGCCCTGCACCTATTGGGGTGGGAGGTTGCAATCAGGGGTGGGCCAGCCAGGGTAGAGGGGCTGTGGGCCTGTCATGGTGGGGCTGATAAGGGACAGTCTGGCCTTGGGGGAAAGGAGGGAGCATTTAGCAGGTGGCCCACTCTTTTTTCTTTCTTTTTTTTAATATATTTTATTGATTTTTTTTTTTTACAGAGAAGAAGGGAGAGGGATAGAGAGTTAGAAACATCGATGGGAGAGAAACATCGATCAGCTGCCTCCTGCACACCTCCTACTGGCGATGTGCCCATAACCAAGATACATGCCCTTGACCAGAATCGAACCCAGGACCCTTCAGTCCACAGGCTAACGCTCTATCCACTGAGCCAAACTGGCTTCGGCAGGTGGCCCACTCTTGATCGGGGTGGAAGAGTCCAATCAGGGGCAGCAGGTAGTGGGGAGGGGCCTCAAGGTTGGCCAGCCAGCCCCACCCCTGATCAGGCCAGTTCGTTGGCCACAATGGGTGTCATAAAGGTCATTATGGCCATTATGGTCACTGGCTTTTTATACATATAGATTAGCTATCATTTACTTAGTACTTGCCAAGTGCCAGGTATTGTGCTAAGCCCTTAGTCTTAGTATCTATAATATCTCATTAAATCCTCAAAAGAATTCTTCAAGAGAGGGTTTTGTTTTGTTTTTAACTAACAAATAAGGAGACTAAGACTCAGAGAGATTATATAAATGGCAAGTAGTAGAATTGGGATTTATATTTAGGGTTTTATTCTCTATCCTACACTGTCTTGTACAATCACTATATAGCCTGCAAGCAGTGCATCTGTATTTTTTAGTGTATGTTATTCCTGCCCCAACTATTTTATTAACTAACTAGAGGCCTGATGCATGAAATTCGTGCAAGAGTAGGCCTTCCTTCCCCTGGCTGCCAGCACTGGCTTCCCTCTGGCACCGGGGACTCAGGCTTCCCTTGTAGCCCCAGCTTTGACCAGATCATCCAGAAGGATGTCTGGTCTAATTAGCATATTACACTTTTATTATTATAGATAATGGAATCTAGAACAAGTTCCCAAATATCTCTTAGCCTCTTTACCTATAGAATTGAGAATTAGATGAAGTGAACTCCTCAGTCTCCTCCAGCTTTCAATATCATATACATTTATGAGTTCCTAGACTTTCAAGCATTCGGTTCTAAACACCACCTGCTTCTGCATTTCTGCATAATGCATACTGTGTTTACATCAAAATAACATTAAACAGTTTCCATTTCCATGAGTTGTTTCCTTGAAACCGTCAGACTTAGTCTGAAATATGAAAAATGAAATGGAGTCACATCGCTAAAGCACAGAAGTTATTTCCTCAAACACTGTCTGTGTATTTCTCAAGAGTTAATATCATTGGTCTAAGTATCTATTAGAAGAAAATATTCACTAATTAAAGATTTTTCTGAGGAACACTTTCCTTATGAAGGCTTTATAAAATCCCTTGTAAAAATTCTTTTAAAAGGATTATATTTTAGGCTGTTTAATGGTGGTACTAGCCCTTGTGCATGTTTGGGTTGGGGGATGCAATTAAACACTAGTCTCTGACGTGTTTACTTTTGCATTTTTCTAATTGTAAAATTTGGAAATATATAGTGGAGGGTAGAAGTGGAAGAACCTGGTCTAAATCCATTTTTCATTATTGTTATTAATAAAATAGTGTAGGGCAGTCAGAAGAGCCCTCGGTTCTTTTCTTGGTGAAAGCCCCTGATGAATCAACCTCTTTGTGTCTCGGTTTGCTGAACTTCAATCACTGGGTTTAGAGCAAATTAATATCTCAGGTTGTTTCCAGACCTGTGAATTAACCCAAAAAGTACAGAAACCTGGAAAGAAGTCACTTCTAAATGCAATAGCAAGTTTCAAATCATATCCTTATCCTGAAGCAAAGATCAATTCTTAGGCTGAAGGTGACAGCCCCAGGAAATTAAGAAAAAAAATTGAAGTCTATTTTTAATAAGGCTACAATACCAGTGAAAGCTTTACAATTCTAAAACTGATACACTCTGGGTAACTGATTCCCAAGCTTCACCACTGAAGCTACAAGGCTGTATTGATGTATTTTCTCCACTGGCGGTGAAGAGATGAAGAGGAAAGCAAACTGGAACGGAACCAGGACACCGAGGGCAGCACACAAGCTGATCCTTAAAAATGTCACAGATGAATTTGAGAGAGGAAAATAGAAAATTTAGAATTCAGTCAGTCCATAAATGTATTACCTGTGTGATAGGATGTTTTTAATAACGAGATCGTCTTCCAGGATACGGTAACACACTTGTGTTCTTTCCAACCATTCTCAAAGATGTACTGACAAACGCGCATGGATCTGCCTGTCAGTCTCTGCCTTTCCAAACGAAATAATAATCTTTGGCCTGTCCTCATACGTCCAATTTTAATGTGAAATCAGTGTTTAAGTTTTCCTTTCTGACCATTTTCTCTCCAGCACGATTAGGTTGCTCATGTCCCGATTCTATATTCCCAGGTGCTATTTACCTCCTCCCTTTGTATCCAGCATCATGCATCCATATGTCAATGCACACCCTAGAACTGAAGCAGAGTGGGAGCCTGGTAGGATGACTGTATATGAAAAGTTAATTTTTAATCAGTGTTTTTACAGCCGGAACTCTGTGTCATTTTTAAAGTCTCCTCTCAAAAAGGAGAAATGATTTGAAGAAATACTAATCACTCCACCCCCTCCTCTGAAGAAAATATTCCACAGAAAAAGGAACTTGGAAAGAATGGGAAGTTCTCACTGAATATATAGATAGGTTTTAAGTTGGGAAGTAGCATTAGCAAGAAGAAAGGCAGAGGAAGTCCGAGCGTCACTGATTTTTCCTCTGTCCCTGGAGAGAAGATTGCTGACTTGGAGTCACTCTGGCTGCCCAAGACCATCTGACATGAAGACATAACTCCAAGGTACGATTCCCTGGGCCAGCAGGTGGACCCTAGGGCTAGTATCTGAACAGACCATCTAGGCTTCCTCCAGAACAGCTTCTTGCGATCCGCATGCCCTCCCCACCACAAGCAGAGGGGGTTGGTTCTTCCTGAAAGCCATTTGTGCCAAAGCTATCACAACAGCAAGCCCTCAAAATGACCATAAATCTGATGATACCTTAGAATTCAGCAGAGAAGCTTTGGGGAGGAAGAAAAAATGTGCCACATTAAAAGGGCAAAATGAGGCTCTTGCTAACCTTAATATAACAAGTTGAGTAAAACAATAGGTAAAAAGTTTTTGAGTGCTGAATATGTGCCATGAAGGGAGCTATGTGATTCATATGCATGATCTCATTTAGTCCTTATAAAAACTCATTGTGGTTTAGAAGGTAAAGAGGCTCAGAGTTAAGAATCCAAGGTCGCAGAGTTGATAAGTGGTAGAGGTAGGATTGAAACCAGTTCTGTGGGATGTCAGAGCCCTAGCTCTGTCCACTAATTTATACTCAAGCACTTAAAAACCACTTTAGAAGATGTTTAAGTATGATGAAATCTCCTGGTTGTGCGCAATAATAAATGAAAACTCCTAGAATAATTTATATGATATTTACAACCACTACCAACATTTATTTTGTTCAAATTTTACATTACTTTCAGATGCCCTTGTAGAGTTCAGCAACACATTTTTTAAAATCTTCCCTATAATTCAGAAGTTTTCTCAAATGCACATACACAGAGACCACACACACATACACACACCAGACATACAAACACCACCTGAACACACACTATCCAGATAAATACAAACACCACATAGAGACCATACAGAGACCATACACAAATACAACATAGATGCATAAATCTCACACACACACAGCTCCACACATACTCCGTGTGGATCCAAAATACATCACAGAGACACACATACAGAGTATATAGCCGCATACATACACACAAACACACTGCAGCTATACAGACAGACCACAGATACTCACATGCCCTACATACAGAGTCAGAAATTCTTCATGGGATTTTGTTTCTCCTTGTCTGCTATACCCTAACTTATGTCTAGTTTCCACCATATATATCATCTCATTTATATCTTACCTTCTGCTACTGGCCTCTTCTCTCCATCCACTCCATCCCAAACAGTTCTTTTTCTTCCACTCTCCAGAGCAATCACCAACATCAGACAGTTGTAACTAATGAGAAGGGACATTATACCATGTCCAAGTATAGCAAATTGATTAACATTGAGTATTAGACACCCCTCATTTTAAAGCCCCTGTGTAATTTCTGCGCCTCTGAATATCTCACTGACCCTTGTGCTCTGCAGCCTCCTGGCCTCCTGCTGTGTTTTTCCTGTTCTCTCCTCTCTGAAGACCATCCTCACTCCACCACCCTCTTCTCATGGTCCCAGGACCTTCACTGGGTCCCACTCTTGCACTCACCATTGCTGATCCATTCCAGGTCCTTAGATTTCACTTTTTATTTCCCAAGTGCATTACCAGGCTATTTTCTTGAAGAAAAAAAAAATCATTTTTCTACTTCAGAGAAAAACTTTGCAACTCCCTTAGATGGCAGAATTAAGTTAACACAGTTGTGGTTTTAATAACAATTACTTTTATTTCTTCTCTCTTAGAATTTTTTTTGCTTAGTAAAAAAAAAATCACTAGTAATTTCAATTGACTTATACAATTTATCAAAAAACAATTTGATGATATGATTCTGTTATAACAGGTATTTTCTCAAATATTCGCAGATTTGTATTTTCAATACCATAGGAACCATTATTCAAGAAATGGGGTATTTTAGATAATCAAATATTCTGATTCATAGAGCATTATCAAAACACTAGGCATGAAATAACTAAGTAGCACAAAATACTGGTAGGATTCCCAACCTGCCACAATGGAAGATTGGTAAGAGATAATAATTAATAAGAAATTTAACCCTTTTAAGCCTCACTTTTGCCTCTGTTTAAATATTTGTCTTTGTGGAAGAAAAAAAAATAAATGATTTTCATAAAATGCTCCTGGCATATAATAAGTATTGAATAAATATCAGTGCCTTGACGGCTCCTAAGAACCACTACTGTATTCTATAACACATTTTCTTATTTCACTGATGATTCTGAAGACTCTTCACAATCTTATAGTGTTCTAGGGCTCCCATATGAATATCAGTTCTTACTGTTGTGTGCTCAGTGTTAGAATACTAGATAATAGCATTTTTTATACACTAGAGGTCCAGTGCATGAAATTTGTGCATTGGTAGGGTCCCTAGGCCTGGCTGGTGATCAGGGCCGATCAGGGCCTTCTGGCTGCCAGCCAGGGCTTTCCTTCCCCAGCCGCCAGCTGCCAGCTGCCAGTTGGGGCCTTTCTTCATTCCATATCGCCCCTGGTGGTCAGCACACATCATAGCAAGCAATGAAACTCCTGGTCTCCCAGTCAAACTCTTGAGAGGACAATATGCGTATTAGGCTTTTATATAGAGAGATTATTAGCTCATGGGAGAAAACTAATTGTAGCTCTCCATGATTACTAATTTGCAGCATTTTTGTTATTCAACTTCATTAGCAACATTTGCCTTGACCAAGTCTTAATCAAGTAAAACTGATTCTATGTTGCCTTATTCAAGATGTGCTCATCAAAAAGGATCAGAGTTCTTGTTAATGTCTAAACAGAAGATTTTTAGCTACCTAAGTGAATTACTTAGCAAAGTCAAAATATCCGTTTCACATTAATTTCATATCATTTGTAGTATTTTTATTTTTGATGCTCAAATTAATTTGATCTAAATTCTTCATACAAAACAAAGTAAAGGCTTTAGGAAAAAATATCTGATTTGTGTTATTGTAGAAATATTAGGTTTGCCATTTAGAACATATTGTTAATTTGTCTGTTGATATTTTAATTTCTATATTTAATCTTTTCTTTTGTTTCTTTTTTGTTCTCATTTTCAGTTTCTTACCCCGCCAGTAATTATGGATCTGATCAACTCTTCTGATTACCAGGTCACTGTCTCTACATTAGTAAGAAATGGCACTCACTTCCCAGCTCCTGCCACAAAAACTTTCATTGTCCTTTCTTTGTTATTGGCATCGATAATTGGCATAATCAGCAATGCTCTCTATCTGTGGGTACTGAAATTCAAGATGAAAAGGACTGTCAATACTCTTTTATATTTTCATCTCATTTTCTCATATTTTATTGCAACATTAATTGTGCCATTTATAACCATCTCCTACCTTTGGGACAATCACTGGATCTTTGGAACTGCCATGTGCAAGGTCTTCAACAGCATTTTATACATGGGAATATTCGCCTCCAGTTTCTTCCTCTCAGCCATCAGTGTTGACCGTTACCTTTTCACTCTTTACCCCGTGTGGTCACAGCTGCACCGAACCCCACGCCGGGCTTCCAGCATAATCCTGGTAGTCTGGATCTCTGCCACGGTCCTTGGCACGCCCTATTTGGTTTTCAGGGAGACATATGATGACCATGAAGGAAGGGTGATCTGCCAGAATAGCTATGAGGTGTCCACTGACTGGGAAAGCGAAAAGACGCAAACATTTAAAAAATGGATTCATGTGGGATGTTTCACCAGCCGCTTCTTGCTAGGCTTCCTTCTGCCTTTCTTGATCATCACCTTTTGCTACGGAAGAATAGCCAACAAGATGAAAAAGAGGGGCCTGTTTAAATCCAGCAAGCCTTTCAAAGTCATGATGACTGCCATCATCTCTTTCTTTGTGTGTTGGATGCCCTACTATGTGTATCAGGGCTTACTTCTCACTAAGATCCAATCTCTACTTTTACAGTTGGCTCTGTTACTTGCAGTAATTACCACTTCTTGCAATGCTGTCTTTTCTCCCCTACTCTACCTGTTTATAGGGGAGAACTTCAAAAAGGTTTTCAAGAAATCCATTCTTGCTCTGTTTGAGTCAACGTTCAGTGAGGATTATTCTCCAGAAAGAACACAAAACCTAAATTCGGAAACCTACATTTAAATTCAGGGTCCCATGAACTCTTAGTTAATTACACAACCAGAGATATACTCCCTACTCCTGTACAATTATAGCTCTATATTAAAGAGACATCTAGGCTGTATTATTATTAAATTGTGAAGATTAAAAGAGCTATAAGAAAGTAAGCAATAGGTCATGTTCTGGATGTAATTTTCCCCTTCCATATTGTGGTAAAATATTGTCCCTTGAACAATATGGATTTGGACTTTCACAGTGACATTTTCTTTTCTCTAGCTCATTTTATTGTATGAATACAGTATATAGAGGATTGGAGGGCGTGGGTAAAAATAGTGATGGAATTAAAACGTACAAATTGGTAGTCACAAAATAGTCATAGGGATATAAAGTACAGCCCAGGGAATATAGTCCGTAATATTATAACAATTATGTGTACAGTGCCAGGTAGATACTTGAAATATCGAGGGGACCTCTTTGTAAAGTAGGTGATTGTCTAACCGTTATGCTGTACACCTAATACAAAATAATATTGAATATAAACTGTAGTTTAAAAATTAAAAATTTTTAAATGAATACATTTTATAATACATATAACATACAAATATGTATTAATCAACCTAATGTTACTGGTGAGGTTTCCAGTCAACAGTAGGCTATTACTAGTTAAGTTTTTAGGGAGTCAAAAGTTATACGTTTTTGACTGTGTGAAGGGTGGGAGTCCCTTATACCATATTGTTCAAAGATCCACTGTATAACCCAAAATTTGTCATTTTCACCATTGCAAGTATAAATTTCAGTGGCATTAACTACATTCACAGTGTTTACAACCATCATCGCTATTTCCAGAATTTTTTATCACCCCAAAGAAAAACACTATGCCCATTAAGCAATAATTCCTCATTTTTTCCAACTCCCAAACCCTTTCATAACCTCCAATCTATTATATGTCTCTATAAATTTACCTATTCTAGATATTCTATATAAGTTCAATCATACAATATTTCTCCTTTGTGTGTGGTTCATTTTATTTAGCATAATGTTTTCAAGGTTCATCCATGTTGTAATATGTATCAAAACTTCATTTTCTTTATGGCTATGTAATATTCCATTGTATGTAAATACTATGTTTTGTTAATCCATTCTTCTCTTAAGGAACATTAAGTCGTTCCCACCTTTTGACTATTGTAAAGAATGCTACTATGAACACTGCCCTACTGTTTCAGTCCTTGTTTTCAATTATTTTGAATTATTTTTAATTTCTGGGTCATTTGTTAGTTCTGTTCAACTTTTTGAGTTCTCACCAAATGTTTCTAGAGAAGCTGTACTATATATGTTACATTAATACCAGCAATGTACAAGAGTTCCAGTTTTTTCACGTTATTTTCATGTTACATTTTATTATTGCTGTAGTGTTATTCTTCACTTACTATTTTCCTTTTATAATTTATAGCCATTCTAGTCAGTGTGAGGGGGTGCACCTGTGAGTCTTGGCCTCTGACTTTTAGGGCTATAGGAATATCAATTTCTAAATATCAGTAGTTTTAATTTATCTGAATTCTCTATCAGAGAATCTTCTATAAATAGACTTTTGGGCAGGATGCCTCGAGCAAGCCCTTCTGAACCACACAAGCCGTGAGAGCCACAAGCCCCACCTCACCGCCACGAGCGGCTAACAGGCCTGAGGGAGGGACCGAGAGATGCTCCATGCACCTCTTGGTGACTGGTTGTTTGGTCATTCCGGCGTTCCAGCATTATGGCCACTGGCTTTTTATAATATAGATATGAACAAAAGTTAACATGGATATGACAAGGCACTCAGCTTGTCATATCCATGTTAAAATATAAAGACATTTATACTTTAATGTTTAAGTATAAAGAAATCTTAAGTGTCTCTTTTTAATACCTAGAGATTGAGCTATCTCAGAAATACGGGGTTAAGACAATTACAAATGTTTAAGAATCCATCTGGGTAATGTCATAGTATATTTAATTTTAGAACAGCAATGATAATATTAATTTGTCTTCTCTGGTATTCAAATTTTGCTTCAAGCTTTTGCAACACATTACAGCACCTCAGTTATCTAGGACCATGTACTATCACTGACCTATTATTACCTTTAGATAGTCAGTTCTATAAGACAATAGATAGCAACAAAGAGATATTTCAATTGATACAGGATAAATATTTAGGCCATAATGCATGCTCAGTCCCTAAATATTCCAGCTAACTTTGCCCAAACCATTGCAAACCACAGGTACATATCGTATTCCGAAATCCCCAAAAAGGAGGGTACTACTATAGAAAGGAAGGTAAATTAACCTCAATACTAGCTCTTTACAGAGGGAAAGTGATAGTTTGATGCCCTAGGAATCCTGCTCATTGTCCCGGTATCACTGCTGCCCGACAACTGGGGGCCTGGGTCTCACTTTAAACATGAGGGACCAAAAGCTGTGAGCAGATGAAGACTTTCATCGTTGGCCCCTATTTCAGGCTTTGGGAACCTGAACGGTTTCCCAGAGCGGGAGGAGGAAGATTGATGACCAGCCTGTGGCTCTGAGTGCTCCTTCCCTCCCCACCCTCTCCCGGGTCCTGACAAGCCCGCGGCGTTTATGATGCAGGATGAAGAAGAAAGTTACTGGAAAGGACACAGGATGTTTTTTGAAACAAGATTGCGCTTTGGAAACCCAGCAGCTAGAGAGAGAGCCTTCTGTGTCCCTCAGACCTGCTGTGATAACAAAGACGTGCTGTTTCAAGGTTCTCTCGTACGCGGTCCTTTCTTCCCTCTCTCTATGGATCGTAAAGTTTCCAAGAACAGAAAAAAGCCTACCAGTCACAGTATTTCTTTCCTATAATATTATATGCAATTGACATCCAGTAAAAGCTAGGTAATGAAAGTTGACGATGGGTAATCACATTATGTGACTTGGAAAACGACTTTAGGTTAAAATGATAGGATTAGAAAGGTTTACATCACATCTACCTTGTACCCCAGGCATGATTCTAAGTGCTTTACAAATTGTTACTCACTTAATCCTACAGCAATTCTACAAAGTAGGTCATATTATTATCCCTGTTTTACAAACTATGAAACCAAAGCACTTGCCCAAGGAAATACAGGAAGCAATTGGAAGATACAGTATTATGCAATAGGCAGGCTGGTGCTAAACTATTATACTCTGTGTCTGAGGCCACTGCTGGGAGGCAGTGAGACTTGGCTGTCAGCCCAGATCTACCTAGTCTGTTTATTTAATCAGAAGTCACCTTCTTGGATGCAAAAAAAAAATCAAACAGAAGTGCCTAGAAAATGTCAAGATCCACTTACAAAGTAAAATGCTGATTCTGGTTCAATAAGTCTGGAGTAGGATTGAGATTCTGCATTTCTGACAGTATCCCAGAGGATCCCTTGCTGCCAGTACAGAGCTAGAAAAGAGTATGATTGAAGTTTAGGTGCAAGAAACAGGCAGAGCCAAGATGAGCAGGAAAGTCAGCCAGCCCTCTATTTCAGAAAACCCTACTAAGAAGTTTGGACTTGACCCTAGACTCTATCCTGAGGGCGTTAGAGAGCCACTGAAGGATTAAACTTGCATTTTAGAAAGATCCCTCTGTCTGCTGTCACAGAGAGGTCAAAACGGGAGATGAGTGGTCAAACTGGATGGTGTTGCAGTCATCCAGTTAACAGGTGATGTGGCCCGAGCCAGGAAAGTGGAAGTGGGGATGGAGAAAAGTAGGCTTGTCCTATCAATTCTGTTGGCTCAGAAGTAGAGGAAGAGGGGAAAGTTTAGGGGGGGCTCCTGTATCAATTAGAAGTCATAGCCTGAGCTTGTCTGGCTCAGCGGTTAGAGCATCAGCCTGAGGAGTGAAGGGCCCCACGTTCTATTCTGGTCAAGGGCACGACTGCAGGCTCAATTCCCAGCCCTGGTTGAAGTGTGTATGGGACGCAACCAATCAATGTGTCTCTCTCACATCAATGTTTCTCTCTTTGTCTCTCCCCCTCCCTTCCACTGTCTCTAAAAATCAATGGGAAAAAAAGATATCCTTGGATGAGGATTAACAAAACAAAACACAAACAAAAAAAAAAAAAAAAGGAAGAAGAATATATCTTGGTTGTAAAAAGATTTCATTCTGGCTGGTTTAACCAAAAACTGATTTATTAAAGGATGTTAAGTAGTTCACAGAATTATTAGGATGGCTGGACAAGCATTCAGGGCTCCCAGGAACAGTGCCCACGACATGCCTCAAAACTTTCTAGATCAGGAGTCTATGGCTGGTATTCTCTGTCTTAATAAATGGTAGCAACTGCTGTTGCTGAACCAAAATACCAGCAATTTGGTTTTATGCAGCTGCTACGGCCAGTCAATGCTACTTCTGCATCAGGTCTTGAACCCTCCTGTGCCTGGAAGCTCTGCCAACACCAACATCAGGGGAGTGGGAGCCCCACATAGAGCTCATTTATTCACATTGCTCATTTAATCTTGCGTGAGGGTATCTAACCGGCAAGCTGGAATCTTAGCTGCACAGGAGGCTGGGGAGCCTAGTTCCGACTTCTAAATGAGAGGAAACAGGATTCTCACAATGTGGGAATTTCCCCAAATGGAAAAGCTCTTCAGAAGATGACATTGTCCATTGAATTTAACCAAGCTTTCCAGAGTAATTAGCTTCTGGAAGAGAAGCAAAATTTCATTGTGTGAGGAGTGACTGGGAGGTGAGAATCTAAGGGCTCTGAAAGCAGCAAGTATTTTAAATTTAGAGAATTCAGGAGAAATTCCCCCTCCTTCTTTCCACAAAAAAAAGTAAATCTCACACATTCTACCAATTAGAGATTAATTTGTGTTAAGGGGCTGCTATTAAAATGCAAATATACCTTTTAAGATGGTTAAGTTTCATTCACAAGTTAATGGGAATTACTTTAATCAGCTTCACACCCAGCAGAGTGCAGCTAAACACAGTGCTTAGGACTTTACTTTTGATTGTGGCCTAATGGGAGGAAATCCTCTGAGTTGGAGGTCAGGCCTGAAGTGAATTTTGGAGACCCTGAAGTCAGCATGTGTGTACTGCAGACCCTCCAATAGCACCATTTCATTCAACATCATTTCATTATAACATTGACGAGATGCTGTAGGAATTTAACTCTTATTTATGTCAATTAGCTTAGGGTAAAATTGGTTTCTTTAAACATCATTTCGCTTAAAGTTGCAGAACCTATACCCCCATACAGTTAAGTTAGTTAAGTTAGGACTTAACTGTAAGGGGAAGTGCTATAAAAGAGATAAGCAGAGAGGTATTCTGGAGAGAGAGAGTCAATTGATGTCTAAGAAAATAATTGCTTAGAAGTGGTATGGCCCTGAAAATCTGGTTTAGGCCACAGATCTTATCATCCCACAGATCTTATCCCTCCGGTAAAAGCCAGTCACCTGTTTAGTTTAGCTCAGGCTTCCCAGGAGGTGACTCCCCATCAAGCCCTGTCCTTCCCCTGCGAGAGGGGAAGATCACATGGGAGACAGTAATGCTCCTCGTCGTTTTCCTTGTCTCTTCACTGAAGTCTGAGCTC